ATAACCCCATGACGTGGCAGACACAGTATGGAAAGCCTATATAAAATTCACAGAGCCCGCATGGTGCATCTGGTGGTGGTCTGAGCCGCTGATAAGGCTTTGCGGGGCTATCTGACTTCAGTCTAGATGAAGGATGAGCTTCTCAGACGTTGTCCATCCTGCTGATGCTCCCTCGTCTCATCGTAAACTCTTGTGCACCCTCTGGTGCTTGCTAGTCTCCCAAACTTCTTTGTGTAGCCTGCTTTGCAGATTGTCTTCCTTGTCTGTGTGGTTGCTCATTATTCAGAGACAGACGGATCTCAGGTCATCTGCAGCTGCAGCAAAGAAGAAGCAGGAAAGATGGCGATCATCCATTAGACCGACCGGGCGCACGCATGAAATACGAGGACAACTTTTGGGAGGATCGCTTGAGGAGAAGATTGTACCAGTGAGTTTTTTTCTCCCCTCTCTTGCACTATATTTTCCAGTTTCGCCAAGATTTCGGCTGGGCTTTCAAGGTCTGCGAGAACGTCGGTATGGTAGATCATGGGATATAATTTGAAGAGCGCCTCGTGAATGACCTGGAAAGAGCTGACCTCCCCTCCTCCGTTTCTCCCTTTTTTATAGTCCAAGGTCCAGCCGACTTGGGAGAGGAAGCCGGGGCGAGATTTTTTTTTAGTCGGGTGGGCGCTCCGGCGGGCACCCATGCAGCCCCAAAGTCAAGTGGGTCTTCTCGCTTCCCAGTTAATATCCTAACCAACCTACCCCTCGCTTCCTTCCTCGCTATGTCGCCTTGTCTGTTTGTTGTCAAAGTGACACAAGGAAATGGACGCGGCGGTGTATAAAAGAGGGGTCGCCTGCGTGTGTTTCAGCAGCACCAGGAGCGGAGTGTTTTGTTATTCTGACATGTCTGGTCAGGGGAATTACTGCTGGCCCCGGCTGTGTGCGTCCCCCCCTCTCTCCGGCCGTGCGTGTTGTTGCGCGTTAGCTTCATGGAGAAGCCATTGCACGGATTGCTCTCCTCTCCCAACCAACCAGCCTCCATTAGCGACACAGAGGAGCTGGCATAGCCGCTGGGGTCCAGTCACATACACACTATGAAAAGCCATGTCCAGTGTGAGGAAGCTATATGTGCTAACCACCACAACCACCACCTCCCTCTTCTTCTTCTTCTTCTTCTTCTTCTTCTTCCTCTCTCTCCCCTCTTCCCCCTTTTTTTTTTTTTTTTTTCTTAAAAGAAACCTTGTCTGGTGGCGATTTTGAGTCGGTTCTCCACAGGGTTTGGAGCTAGATATCTCTTGATGGTGGTGACATGAATGTAAGCGCTGGTGGACCTTGATATATATATTTTTTTTATTCTAATGTTTTTGCTCTTATTGCTCACATTGTTACGGTTGTCCCCCTGCACTGTTTCGGATGCCTTATTTTGCTGTCACTGGTCTCAAGTCAGGTATGTCAAGACTAGTAGAGGGCTTCACCATAAAATGGAGGAAAGCAGATGAGTCTCCAAGGAGAGCCCTGGAGTCAGACAGACAGGATCTCTCACGCCAGAACAAAGGTTGTGTTCAAGAAATAATCGGCCACAATTTCTTCTTCTTCTGCTTCTTCTGCTTCTGCTTCTTCCTCTGCTTCCTCTTCTTCTGCTAGCCTTTTCTGCGTTTTCAGCTCGGAAGTTTTTAGTCTGCCATAGGAAGCAGAAGAACTCTGCAAAGTGAGGTTAGATCCTTTTTAGTGCTGCTTTCAAGGTTAACTTCAGTGTTTTGACTCCATAAACTCGCTGCTTTTAATGTACCCAATCTGGTTATAACGTGGTGAATTGGATTTTTATTTTTTTTTTAGTTAAGATTTGCAGGTGGCACTTTTGTCACAGTGCTTTTTGTGATGGCTGAGGGACACTTGCAATGAGATAGGAATGCAATGCTGAATAATGCAGTGTTTTTGGCCATGCAGGTAGTTAATGTTCAACTAAGTGGTCTCAACACATGCACACTCTTTCTCTCTCTCTCCTGTGTGTGTGTGTGTGTGTGTGTGTGTGTGTGTGTGTTGAGAGAGAGAGAGAGAGAGAGAGAGAGAGAGAGATTGGGTGAAGTAATGGCTGTTGCAGATAGTTTCTTTAAGGAAGTTCTCAAGATGATTCTCTGCTTTTGTTTTGCACAGGTTTTTTGGACCTATATCTTTTACCCACACACTCTGTTATGGCTTTAAATTCTAAATGAATTATTTCTGGAGGGACTAGTCCCCCCCATCTGTTTATTTGGTGGCACATGTGCCTGTTATTGCCGGATTGTCCTGTCTAAAAGTTATCTAATGGATTAAGGCGGTTGGTCATCTATTAACAAGCTGTAAGTTGTAATGCACTGCACAGCCTGAGGTGACTTTTCACACATTATATCCTAAAGGTGTCTGTTGACCAGCCTGTCAGGAGAGAGAAGGAGGTGTGTTTGCAAACTGTAGCGTGTGCCTGTGTGTGTGTATGTGTGTGTGTGTGTGTGTGTGTGTGTGTGTGTGTGTGTGCTGTGCTACGCTCTGCAGTTTCCCCGGCCACTGTGTGAAATCTTGCTGACAAGGAGACTGTGAGCTTGACACACTGTGCTGCGACAATGCTGGGGCTGAGAAGAGCAATCAAAATGGTGGCGATGCTCCTTCTCCCTGGCGTGGCAGGGCAAACAGGTTCTCAAGGAAGGAGCTGATAGAGGACGGGCCGGGCAGGAATCTGCTGCGGTCGACACATTTGTCTCGCAGACGGGTGCGGTGGATGTATAGTCTGGTGGATGTTCTGCAAACGAGCCCAGTGATTTAACACTTGATGTGATTGTGATGTTTCTTTTGTGGAGAAAGCTCTTAGATTGTCTCGGGGATACTGACACTGCGTGCTGTCTCTTTGCATTTGAAGTTCTTGTAGTAAGTTTCACAAGTCTTCAACACATCCGTGAGGCTTTTCTCAATTGTGAAGCATATTCATGCTACGCTAGAAGCTAATCTGTGTGCTCAGGTTCTCAGTTCAGCTCACCGGCTAAGGTCATGTGGGTCAGGGCTGTTTGCTTTCGCTATGGCAGAGATGGCATTTCCAGTACTTTGTGTTATAGTGAGGCAAGGCTGGATTACTAACTAAAAGTGTGCAACTGCCAAGGGGGCCCAGACCCTTAGAGGCCCCCAAGGTCTTGGTGTGGCAATTACTTTGTTGTAATTTGATTAATTAGAAATTTCTCTGGTAATACACACCACTAAAGTAAATTAAAAACTGAAAAGCTCAAAGCCCTACGCATTTTTACCTGATCTTGAGACCCTGTCTTATAAAGGGCCTGTGTCTAAGTAGTGGAGCTGAAACGATTATACAATTAATAAGTTGTTTGATCGACAATCCGTTAATCGTTTAAGTCATTTTTCAAGTAAAAATGCCAAACATTTTTCCAGTTACAGTTTATTCAATAAGAGGATTTGCCACTTCTCCTGTAAAGCTCCTATTAGAAACTAACATAATTATAAACAATTGCTTTTCTTTGTCATACTGTATTAGAACATTAAAAAAGAAGGAATATGAATACATAGGTTATAATTGTAAAATAACAATTTAATATATTAAGCTTTTAGTCAATGTCCTCCTAACATGGTGCATATCTTTAAACACCTTTTGTGTGTCAATTTATCACAAACTAACTGACATACTGTAAAGCTCAGGCTGGGTTATATTCCAGCTTAGAAATAGTGGTTTCTCTGACTTTAGGCGAAATGCACTGAGGAGTATGTGTGTGTGTGTGTGTGTGTGGGGGGGGGCTCAATAGGGGCCCACAGCTCATTTTTGCCCCCGGGGCCCTTAGTAGGGGTTTATCCGGCCCTTTCTGAAGTTGCCGTAATATGTTAAAGAGACTCCATTTTTAATATATGTACACGGCATTGATTTATTAAATGGATAACGAAGAATCCTGCAACATGGGGCTTGTAGCTTTAATTGTAATTTCATGGTCCAAATGTGTGACTGACTCAATACGTTGTTTGGAGGCTATCTAAATCAAACTGGTTGAGTTTGACCTCTGTGTTAAATATTTAACACGCATTGTAGCTGCGGTTCAGCTTTAAGGTGACAGGGCAGAACTGAACTCTGGTAGATACTTTTAGAAAAAAATTACATAACTGGATTTTTGCAAGGTATTTCAGGATTATGCTTAAAAAGCTCGACAGAGAGGACAGAGGATTAAACAAGAGAGACTTCTGTGATGGTTTGAACGCTGGAAGGAAGTGGTTGTGAAGCTCATCGCTCACTCTGATACTCCTTCTGTGTCTCTTGCAGACACACACACACACAGACACACACACAACTGCCCTCCCTCCCTCTCTCTCATTCACTCACTCACATTGGGTGATGCACTCCTCCATTCTTCTCTACCTGGGGCAGTGAAGAAGGCTAGGGAGACGCACAAAAGCAAATTGAAATGCTCCAGTGAGTGCTTTCTTGACATGATGCATGGCTCATGAGATGCAGCTTGGCCCTGCTGCTACACTTGTAAGTGTGCTGAAACACACAGGCCCCCAGATCCAAAAACACTATAGTCATTACAGTGCAGCAAAAACCTCACTACTCTCTCTTGCATTTTACCAACCTTCACTCCATAAGCATGTTTTCTTTCTTGATTCAGATATTTCATGTGAAAGCAGGGCTTTGTTACTGTAAAAACCTTGTGAATAATTGAATGCTGTGTAACAACATATGGGCCGATGTGAACAACTAAAAAGCAGCATCATGTCAGGGTTTAAATGGAACAAGGAAGTGGCTTGCTAGAGGTGTCATTCCAGTTTCTGTTGTCAGTTGCCACGTCACATTGCTGCAAAACTGGTTCCTCCTCTGTGCTTTCCATCAGAACATCAACAGTTCAAACGTTAGCTTTACTCCTGCTGTAAAAAAAAGAAAAAAGAAGCTTGTCGCTCAGCTCATAGTTGTATCTCTGCTAGTCTTTTCAGCGTGCATATGGTTAGCATATAGGGGGTTAGTTTCATACACAATGCAGACTTAAGGTTTAAAGCGTCCGTCCTGATGTGATAGTTTATGCAGTGAGATAAATTAAGCCATCTACACGGCAGACTCAGGTTTCCAGCCTGAATTCAGGATTTATGCCCTTCCTCTATCAGACTCAGGGAACCAACTCTGTCAGCCTCGAGCTGCCTGTGGTGGAAAAAAATCCTGAATTCTTTGGAGACGCCCGTTCCTTGGGCAGTGTGGTGCCACTGGACAAGGCCCTCATTGAGCAGGAACAGGAGTGGTCTTGTAGAAGGGATCCACACTGGCTCGGCCTACGAAGCAACAGAGCTGTCCAAGGACGATTAAATATTTAAGAGCTTGGAAAGGAGGTCTCGGTGGTAAGTTAATATTGATGGGTCTCTCATCTTTCCCTTCTCAAACTTGCTGCCTCAAGAGGTCGGTTTGGTGGACCTGGAGAGGAACCTCTCCTCGTCTCTTCTTAGATACATTTATCTTTAAAAAGGCTGTGCAAAAGTCTGTCCTCCAACGTTTCTGCGAGTAAACCAGACTTGAGTTTGACTTTTTCAGTTCTTTTTTTTTTTTTTATTACTTCCTGTGTCCTCTTTTGGTCACTCAGAAATACTCCATCCGGACTAGCTTGTAACCTCACCCACTCTCTGTAACTGTAGTAACTGCCATGTCAGGCTTATAAGGAAGTCAGCATTGCAGTGTTTTCTGGCAGTTGTCCACTGAGCACCGCTTAAAAGAATCCCTTCAGTGCATCTCACAGCCTTTTCTCGTCATCTTTTTTTTGTTCTTTTGTTTGTGAATTGGTGGAATTGGATTGTGCACAAGGCATTTTAATGGATAAAAAGAAAACAGGAGTGAAATCAAGATTTTAGACTGTTGATTGAGATGAGTGAATTCAGTGGAAGTCACATCATACAAATAATATACTTTACTCCATTACTGGATTAGAGTTTGGCACATTGAGAGCTGACCTTAGTGTGTGTTTGTCCCAGTTATCGATATATGTTGTCTGATTTAATACAGGGTTTATTCGAGACAGCAACAGATCAGGAAATGGTTTCCTAGGAGAGATGGACTACAAGGCTGCATGGAATGTAAGGTTTCCTGGAGTAATTGTCTTTGTGGAAAAACACTTCCTGGTTTCTCTCCAAGATCTGTCCTTGGACATCCTTCACTTGCCCTGACTCTTCAGTGGTGTTTATTTAGCCCATAAAGGACATCTGAATGAAGCTTAATGCGAGCCTCATATGTCTGTCTGTGAACACGTATGGTTTAGATTTGTGTATTGTGTGTGTGGCAGCAAATGCATTTGTTTTTCTGATGTAGCCTACTTGTGTACAGTACTTTATAGAATTCCTTTTCTGAGAATTTTTCTCTTTGAGCTCGAGGGAAGAAACCTCTTGAGAAAACCAAATATATCTACCTATTCCTTCCCATATAAAATTGTAAAAATAATCACGCCTAAGGCTATTAATTAAATTATGCACTTAATCATTTTTGGATGGAATATTTAATCATGTTGCTGAGGGTTGCCCCAAGTTTTGTCTTTTATGCTTTTCAGTCTAGAATGATTTTACTTCTCATAGAAGCACTGAAACATGTTAAGAATTTTGTGGGTCACCTGTAGTTGATCATGTTATCTACAAGAGATTATATCTTCTTAAAGTTCTGTATGACAGGATGAGTGAAAACTCCATATTTAGAGGCACGATCCTCAGATCTCATCAGGACGTTGCCTTCAGCTTGTGAGGAACAGCGGAGCCGCACTCTAGGTGGCCATCTTTGCAGCGTACAAAAACCACACATCTCACTTCTGCTTTTGCTGACTGCCATGACAGTCTGCAGAGGAACAGACAGGAGGGGAAGCTGCTCGCTCAGGTCTGTGCTGTTAAAGTTAAACACTTCCATCTGTGTAACAAGATAGCAGAAGCGAGCAGAGGCAGCTCCACGCAGCTGAGCTGAGGACAGTCAAAGACCTTGAGGAGCACAAAATGGTGGATGGCCATGCCACTGATACTCCTGCATGATTGGCTGTGTCTCCTTGGCCACAGTGGGGCCGGCTGTGTGAAATGGAGTCCTCTGTGTGGAGCCCTGGCCCAGCCTCAGCTCTGATGCAGAAGATAATTCTGTCAGCCCCAAGAGAGAGAGAGACACAGAGAGAGAGAGAGAGAGAGAGAGAGAGAGCAGCCAAGTGAGGTGACTATACTAAGGGGAGGTTGAGCAGTAGACTTCCAGAGAATTCAAACTCATGTATGTCTGCGTGTTTTCACCGTGTAAACACGCAGACTCTCACCACTTGATTTTTTTGGGTTCAGACTTTTTTGTGTGGTGCTTTTCGCATTGAGTTGACACGGGGTGGCTTGAAAAAGAACGACTAGATGAAAAGATTCATTTATGGTTTTGTTAACAGGAATGAAGAGAGTGACTATGTAAGGGTATTCATTATCTAACCTTTACACCCAGCAGGCTTTAGCTGAGGGATTTACCAGCCCCCTGTTTTGTTTGCTTTGTGAAAATTTGTGGCTTGTGGCTTGAGGGTCACATAAATATCTCTCACGATTAAAACGTAAATGCATAAAGATGAAATGCAGATGTAAAAGACTGTAAGTGCCAACATTTGGAATGGAGTAGTATTTTTTGGGTGAGTTTTCACCATGACAACCTGAAGACAGTAGCCACATGGAAGATGGCCATTAATGCTTGTCTCCTCCTAATCTGCTTGGTCATTATCTCCTGTGCAAAAGAGGTCAAATGTTGTTACCGAGTGCTCTGTGTTGCTGCCGTTCTCCTTTTCAGAAGGAACAATTGCTTAACACAAAGGCTACCCTTGGAGCAAGGTTACTTGTACCATCATGGCCAGCTTCTTTCTTCTTCTTCCTTTTTTTTTTAGTGCAGCTTCAGAGAGAAACATGTAATTAGCAAGTTGGATGTCTTTTGATTAAGAAAAGAAATGTCTTGGGTTGCAAAGAAAGAATATAAATAGGGGAGTGACTGCAGTGATATTAAGTATTAAAGGCTGTCTGACTGGGTGGGTGATGTCAGGTAACCATCTGTCAGAGAGGCAGGCTGACACAAGCACGGTCTGACCTTGCAGTATGGACGCCACACACATAAAATAGAAAATGATCTTCTCTTCCTGGGATTAGAGTAGCATTTGCAACTGGGAGCTATGCTAATGGCTTTCCTCCCTCTCTCTTTCAGCTCTTCTTTCTCTCCTTTTGATGCGAGGACTTGCTTGAAGGCCTCAGTCAGCAGAATACTTTGAGGTCCAAAGATCAAAATCCTTCACTCCTTCGGACTCTGCTCGTTGTCCTTTTTATTACCGAGGTGGCACATGTTCATACAATGTAATGCGTCAACTCTGATGTTGAATTAGATGATCCCCAGCATGATATTGACCATTTTTAAGGTCAGTAATAGTGTGTAAATAACCATACAGTAAAATATAATTCAGGTCTGCATCTCCCGCTTAATTTTGTTCTTCTCCTTTACCTGAAATCTTTAAGGGTTGCTTGGGTCCGGCAGTGGTGAGGTGTTTCTTTTTAAATGCCCTCTGAATGTGGCACCAGTGAAGGTCAGGCTGCAGACAGATCAGCAAAGCTTGCTGGATTGCAGTGTCTGAAAGGCTCTGCACCTGTATTTACCAGTCCTCTGAGACAATGTGGGATTACTGAGCTCGTTTCCTGAATGTTCACCAAAAATCCAGACTTCGTTTTGTCTCAGTCATTCAGTTAAAGTAACCAGTAAAAGGCAGTTAAACACAAAAGGCTACTGTTTGTAGTCCCTCTGTGCTAGAATGGATGAACATATCAGTTGCACAGTATGCGCGCATAGCTCATTAATTCAGGATCGTAATTGTGTTAAGATTCAGTTAGTTGCATTGAAAATCAAGAAGCTAATTTATCATTTTAATCTTAAATTAAGTGAAGTCATAATTAGATCAAATAAAACTAGATTTTCATTAAATGTCAAAATCTACAGAGACGAGCGTGGACAGCGAGGAGCCAACACATCATGTTTGAGATGAAAGAAGGATATAGATTAAGAAACAGACAGAAAATCAGATCTAAGACCTTTTAATTTTTTCCATGCCAAACTTGAAGACTTGGAGGAATTATGGCGCCATCAGGACCTTATCTAGATCAGGTCATCTTTGTGTGATGGATGGTCATGTAAAGAGGAAGCTCTAAAGGAAAAACTACCAAGAGGCCAACAGCAAGCTAAAAATAACTGAAGGACTGTATAGCAGAGGCATCCACAACATGCACTTAGCAAGAGTTTTATGTGTTCTGAACACTTCTGAGCTGAAGGGCAACAAGATGAAGACTGCTCCTCACCAAAAAGCACATGTTAATTTTGCAAGCATGTGGTTCATTCCCATGACAGGAAGTGGAACTTGTGATCTGATAAAACCAAGGTAGAATGTTTTGATCTTAATTCCTAAATATAGAGCGATGGCACATTGAGTACAGGTCATTCATTACCTTAAGGACAATGTAATGCACGGCCCGTAATACTACACAGCTGTTGTGTAGGCCAGAGGGGGAATAGTTTAAGACACCAAGACAGAGAATATGTTTCCCCTCTAAAAAATGGGTTAATGGTTGGAAAGGAGTTTCATCTTGTATGAGAAAAGTACCCAGAACCCACACAAGCAGAAAAGCAATGTATGCAATTCTATGTAAGGTCCAAACTGAAAAGTTTCTAACACCAAATTTAAAAAAGGACTTTTCTGCTGAAAACAAAAACAAATCTGTAGACCTTTTTTTAAGAATCTATCAAATGAAAACAAAATTCAAATTTAAAAAATAAACTACTTTAAGTGAGTTAATACATTAACCACTAACCACATCCTGTCCCCACATTGAACCAGTGCAGTCAAACTGAGCAGTACTACATGATGGGCAGACCTCCCTTTAGCTTCATTTGAAGGACCAGCGTGTAACATTTAGCAGGATCTATTGGCATAAATGGAATGTAATATGCATAGCTATGTTTTCATTAGTGTATAATCACCGGCGACTAAGAATCATTATGTTTTTGTTATCCTAGAATGACCCTTTTATGTCTAAAGATGTCACAGATCACCTTCCATAGAGGCTGTCATGTTGAACTGCCATGTTTCTACAGTGGCTCAGATCAGACAAACCAAACACTGGCCCTACCCTTTATTTAGTTTTTATTTAGTGCTTGGAAGGTGAGGGTGAAGTGAGGGATCCGCAATCTGCAAACATTTGCTAAACGAGTAAACGGTGGCAACAAGTGGCAATTATGGGACGACGGTAAATGCTAAAATGTAGTTTAACAATGTAGCATGAGTAGAGAAGAGTCATAAGGCTGGAGAACCGACAGACGTTTGTTAACTTTG